ATTTAATCTAATATTGGTCACTAATGGGCTCTGATCTTGCTTGTATATGTAAGGAATTCATTGCAATTGGTCAAGCGTTGGGATTAGCTTTTGTGTCTCATCTGGAGCCCCCAACACTCGATACCTCGGTAGGTCAGGACAAGCTACTTGTAAAATCAAATATCAAGAGCTGAAAAACAGGAGGTATAAACTAATACTCTAAGGGTTTTTTTCCCAGTTTATTTCCTATTAACTTCAAAAACGACAGCAAACAAAAGGACGAGCAAGGACACTCACCACGGGGTACAGGTTTGGGAAAGGCATATTTAAGTTCGTTCTGGCATACTTATTTTTAGGAAGTGTCAGAACACAGCGTAAGCATTAACCCTGTGTTAAGGTCTGTGAGAGAAAGTAAGCAGCAGAATAACGTTCAGATTTTGATTTGCTGGATTGCAGAGGCAAGCTCAAACCCCACTGCTTGAAGGCAAAATAAACTCTTGGTTTCTTGCTTGGGCAAAAGCGGATTCAATTGCTTTTATCCAAAGGAGCATCCTACCATTACAATAGGATATAAATGATACCAATGAACAAGACCATCACAGATTTTACTCTCCCACAATTTTTTCATACATTCATCTCACTCCACACTCAGATATTTCTTTCCTCAATTTGATTCACATGGTTCTCAGCTGTATTGAACTTTATCAAAGTGCTACTGCAATGCTACACACCACACTGGAAATACAAGTTGCCCATATTCACCAGTCACAACAGCTTTTGATACAATAGGCCATGTGGCAATATATAGCACCGGAAATGCAGTATTATGAAGTTATTGTTGAAATACAATAGGCCAAAAATTTAACAGAAGTAGAATAAAGGGATTAAAAGGGATCATGTTTTGTATCAGGCTGATTTTGAATTAGATGCTCTAGAACTGTTTGATTTAAGCAATGGATTAACATCAGAAGCAGGTATCTATATTAAGACTGGTATACTTCAAACATTAAGTGCCGTGTCTCTTCCTCTTCCCCACTTTTCCATCATTGTAAGTAATGCTATTTTCACAACGTCCCCAGAAACCAGTGCTCCCCACAGCAGGTACACGGCACCACAGCTTTAGAACTAAACCCTGCAGCTCTCGGGGCTGCCTCCCCACACAGACAGGTTGGGCTGAGGGCTGGTGAGCTGCTGAAAGCTCCGGCCAGCTTTACTGAAAGTTTCTTTTAAGCAGAGGAACAACTCAGACAGACTGTCAGTGAACCTCAAATACATTTCAAGCCCCCAAACCACACAGGCACGCATGGGCTGGGCGAGTTTCAGGGTGGAATTTTAAGGTTCATTAGCACAGTGAAAGGCCTAAGAAATGGCAACTTATGAAGTCCCTGAAATCCATCCCAAGCTCCCCCTACACCAAACGCTGTTCCAGGCACTACCTGCCTAGGTGAAACCTATTCCTCTCTTTAAAATTCACTTTTATTGTGCAGACCCACTCCCTTCAGCATGTTCTTTTTTGAATGCCAGGCAAACAGAGCAGTAATCTCTGCATGAGACTCCCTAATTGGCAGCAGAGCATTGGCCCAGCCAACATCTGCAGCTGGTTTCAGTGATAATAAATCAGGGGTGGGGGGTTTCAGCATGGCAAGCTGCCAAGGAGCTTTCCTTTCCCCATTTAGCCAAGAAATGGGAAGACAACAGGGAGGACTGGGGCAGCTCCGGTGTGCAGAGGGAGGAAAACAATCGGATCTATCTACAGACAGGCATCAGTCTGCACTTACACTTGCAGCTTTGCAAGAAACAAGCTGGACCACGTCACGCAACCCAGACAGCACATCCCTGCCTTCCACGCTGAGCACCGATTATGCAGGAAGCCTCAGGAATATCAAACATTAAACCAAGGGCACAAATGCAGGAGAAATTGCTCCCCAGAAATGAAGGGTTCCTACCACAGTCCTAAGAGGATTTCTGAGCTGCCAGAGTTCATGGTTGTTCTGTGATCACCTAACACTCACTGAAAACACTCCTGCAGACACATTTACAATCATCAGATCGGATGCTCAGCCCCAAATGCTGGGTTTCTCCAGATGCCTGTAGCACTGACAGCTCAATGCACTCATTTGCTCTAAACCCAGGTGGAACAGAAGCCATGGATGGGAGCTGATCCTAATTCTGAGCAGGGAAATTCAGACTAGGAAAAAAATAATCAAAGGCTGAAAGAGTTGTCTGAAACAACTAAGAAACGAATTTGTGGCCAACAGAATAGAGCTGTTAACTTAAACCCTGCAGCACAGGTTTCTACTGAGTTTTGGGGCAAATTACTTTAAATCAGGTTGCTCAGGCACTGAGCAATAGAAATGATTCTGGCTGCAAAGGCCTGGGCACAGAGCTCTGCTTACTGCACATTCATACCCACACCCCAGCCATGTTCTTGCATGGATTAATAAAACACTTAAGAGAACACATTCTTAATTAAAACAGTTTGGGCTCAGAGATGTGAATTACAGGCTACAACTTCCATTCATTACAAGTGTAAGTAACCAGGCTGGTACTCATTTTCTTTTTGCAGCAAAAAGCCCTTAAGCAAGAGAACTTCCCTCTCCCAAAGCCCCCCAAAACCAAAGAGAAACTGGAAAAGAAGCTCCAAGTGATTTGAGCCTTCCCCAGGAGTGGGTTAAGCTGGAGGTATGCATCTGCAGTTGGGTAAAACCAGCTGAACTCAGCTTTCTGCATCCCCATGAGTAGTAGTTTGTATTGCACTAGAGAAGACAGAAGGGTTTGAGGTGTAAGCGGAGGACCTCACTTCACAGCAGAATGAAAACCACTTTCCCATGTTGAAAACCCTCTCCTTTCAAAGAGCATGAATTGTAGTCTCTACCTTTTGAGGTGGCTGGTGTTGAATCAATTCATTTTGACAAATTATTTCTACTGACAGTCTTCATAGTAATATTTCCATCCTCACAGCAAGCCAAACCCCTGGCTCTCCAGGCTGCCCTTGCACCAGCCCTGTATTTGCACTAGGATGCCTTCTGCAGCCTCAGGTATTTCAGGTACTTTGCAATCTTCATTCACAGCTCCACCCACCACATCTGGTCTGGTCTCAGCCCCTCCCTTCAACCTCAGCACCTTGCCACCTCATCCTGGGGTCTGCTGCTGCTGAAGGTTCCCCTACCAGTGTATTGTACAACCATTGTAAGAGCTGTCTTCCATAGTAAACATCCACCTCATTTACAAGGTCACAGTTATTGTTAGTCTGAGTACAGTTAATGCAAGCAACAAACCACACTGCTGCAGTGCAAAACCACTAAAGAATGCTGACGAGCGGTTCAGCCATGGGAGAGTTCAGGCCTTCCAAAACAGCAATAGTAATTAGCACAATTAAGAATGCATCTGCCACTTAGGGCAGTGCCACCTTTGCCAGCTGTAAGCAGTCAGGTATCACACTGCTGGGGAGCAGCAATTCACATTTGCAAAAATAATGTCTGGCAGGAAGTATTGCTTGGGCTTACTTAAGCTCTAAAACCTGTGGAAGGAGCTGTGCACGATATCCTGTTTGAAGGCATTTCTAATTTAAATTAATGACCTGAAGGATAACTCAAGGCAATAACGATCTTATTGTACTAAATCCTGCAATAGCTGAAGTGAATTATAAATTCCTCTAACTGATTTAGTGGTTAACATTCTGAATCGTAGCTAACCAATGCAATGCTTGCTGAGTTCCAGCATCAGATTAGATGAAACTATATAGGCTGTCCTCAACCTCCCTGGCTGGTTTGGAACAGGCAGTGGAAAGCACAGCAGCCCTGGAGGTGATAAGCCTGGACTGCTGGGAAGGCAACCACAATTCATCTGGGCACCTCCTTTCCAACACTTACCTACAGGGATGCTGGAACATCCTGGAGAAGACGAACTGACTTAGGGACACCAAGTGAGCTGACCAACAGGATGAGCCCTGCTCCCCCCAAAGACAACTGGAGACTGACTTCATAAAAAGCATGATTTGCCTTGAAAATTCACCCTGCCTGCACCATTTCCTACTGGTGGGGACCATTCTTGCTCTGGTGATGATTTGCACATTTGTAAGTCCATACATCACATGTGTACAGAACACAGTAAAAAATAAGATGGATAAAATTTCCCTTTGAAAATGCACAGAACCAAACTGCCCTGAAAAAAAGTGCTTTCAGCAGCTGAGAAAAGCAGTCTGGTATTTTACTTGCAGGCCAACCTGCACATGAAGCAATTGGGTAGGACCTGCACTTCGTACTTGTTTTGTAGACGTTACGGGTACACAGGTCTTCCTCACTGTTTAATCCAAGGGATTTATGAACAGCTGGAACAGCCCATTTTATACATCATCTGCATTTTGCCAAGTTTAGCTATTTCTTATTCTGTTCAGGATGCCATAAACAAAGCATTTACTCCAAACACAGCTCTATTTTAAGCTCTAAAGGTTATTATAAGTATTAGGTTGTGGGCTCTGTTCCGAACTTAAACAACTACCAAGCTGTAAAATGTGGCTTAGTAGAAGTATTAGCAAATCCACAATCCATTTCCAAATGAAATCTCAACAGGTTTATTGTTGTGATACCTGACTGGGAGGAAGTCAGCGTTTTCAACTCCTTTTCCTTTTGAGCTGAGCAGATTTGTTTGAACCCCTAATTCAAAACACAGCTTTAACTTTCCCAGCCCACATGGCAAAACCCCCCCGATGTAAGTAAATCACCAGTACTTAATAGTTAGTTATTAACAAGAACCTTGGAGAAGTGAACTACTGAGGGGCTTCTATCTCTGGCTACAGTCATCCTTAGAAGACATTCCAGGAGTGAGTAACCACCACCTCTGCCCACCCCTCCACATCCCAACACCAGCCCCAAGCATGGAACACCATTGTTACAACTGCCAGTATTCTGTACACTATTTTCTCTACTTGTGCCTAACAGCTCACTTCTACCTGGAACCAAGTCACTGCTGAGAGACACCAGGATGCCACGTAGCAGCCACACAACATAAAAATCTTCCTGTCGTGTAAATAGCTAATTTATTTCCCTTGTTCCTCTCCTTCCCACTGTATACTTTGTTATTTTAAGGCTCTTTTCTCAAGGACAAACTTTGCCTCCCATTATTTCTAGCTTGTACCCAGTGTTGAAAGCCTGAAAAAAAATGATAAATTAAATGAGAAGGAAATGTTTAAGGGTTCCTATTCATAACAAAAATACTTAAGGCAGCTTGGGCCATGAATCTTCCACCAGCAAGTTGAGATACACATAAAGAACCTGATTCAGAAAAGAGCGTGGAGGACTTTCATGGATGCCTGCTGTTCAGCAGATTTATGGGGGTAGAGGCTGGTATGTGGGTAGAGTCCAGGCAAGTAATTAGTTCCTTGCAGAACTCCAATACGGAGTTAGCTTTTCCCAATTGTTCAAAGGCTTTTTACCCAAACAGTGGGTCAGCAATAAGCAGGTCTGCTTTCACACTGCCCAGTGTCTGCTCGCTCTGTGCTGAACGCTGCACTCAACTGCTTGCCTCTTGTGTGTGAAGATTAATGAATGATCAAGTCCTGTTTTTTTGTCAGCAGAGACATGTGCATCTCGTTACAGGATTCAGGAATCTGGCAGCAAAGTCCCATGGTGTTTTCCAAAGCCACCCAAAGGTTTTGTTTGGTTTAATTTTCCAGTTAATAGGGATTAACTTAAAAACCTCATTTACCTTTTTCTATATTATGTCAGCTCTTGAGCTCACATAGTGGGGAAACTGCTAGATCCAAAAATCCCACGGATTTAAATCATGTGTATTTGAATCATGTGTTTACTCACAGAACAGGAATAGGCTTGGGCTACGGCAGAGAGCTGTGCCATCGTCATGGCTCCTTCTGACACAGAGGGCCACCTTTTGGGTTCGGTGCCCGTCATCTGTCTTTCCGATGATCTTCAACAAATGTCAGCTCCTGCCAACAAACCAAAGTTCTGGGTTAGGGTTTTTTTAGCCCTGGAGCCCACAGATTAAACCAGCACCACCCATGTTGCCTGAGGGAATCAGACATTGTGGATGGCTCACTTCGAACTCCTCAAAACATGGCTGAGAAGCCATGCTGCTCTTCAGGAGACAGCAGAGTCTGAGAGCTTGTGGATGACAGCCTGGATAACCAGACCTGGAAATAAACTAAGTACACGTTAATCAGCCTGTGTCTGCATGGGAGGGGAATAAAACAATCTTTAAGCCTGCATAAAATGGTGAAACATATTCACCCTTAATTTGAACCACCTCAACGTTCAGCTGTGCTGAGCACCAAGACCTTCATGTGCAGTATCTCCTAACATCCGAATTTGCCTGGACTTTCAATTATCCAGACAATAATGAAAACATGTTGGTGAGGCGAGCGTCGGGTTACAATCACGGATTCCTGCTTCAATAACAGCCATAAAACAGAGACCTAAAGCATGTTTTTTGCTTTTTTTCCAAACATTAGCAACTCATCTGATACTTAGGCCAAGGATCCAGTTTCCTGCAAGCTGATGACATGCGAGACCACAACCCTGAGGCTGATATTAAATTATACATATATACATATATAAATATACAGAAAGAAAACCTGTGAAATTACAGACACAGATGTGTTATTGGTGTCATAATTTTTTTCCATTAAACACCGTATTAGGTTTATCCCCTTTCTATACTTGAAAATCTTTACATATAAAAGATGAATAGCAACTTCTCAAGGGGATCCTTGTGGTTTAACCTTGTTACAGGAGGTCAAATGCAACATACAAACTATATTGGTACAAAGATGACTGTAAAATGGAATTAGCCTTTTGCTCTCTGTTCAAATGGAAAGGAGGAAAATGTGCACATTTCTGAACCACTCCTGCTTCAGAACCCCAAAAGGGACTTGTGCACAATGGTCCTGGTGAAGCTTGAAGAGTGTGTTTTCTTGAGGAAGAACTAACGCAGTGACACCCAGATCCTGACTGGCACAATATTACACTTTGGAAACACTGAACCATAATAAGTTAGGATTCAAGTAGACCAGATTCCCACATCTTCTCACTGCTAACCCCAACTTTAATCACTCTCTTCTCCAGTACACACACAACTAACCTGCTCAGCTAACATGGGCACAAGTGTCTCTGAGAGCAGCCCGGTCTCCTGTGCAGCAGGGATGAGATTTCTTCAAACTGAAATAAAAAATGAGGGAAAGAACTAGCACATTAAACAGAGGAGGTAGGAAGGGGTACTGTAAAGAGCACTCAAACTACTGTCCCTGTTTTGGCCACTCTACCAGCCCTGTGCTCTCCCCACACACAGCCCATGAAGGTGAATCTTTACTTGTGCCCATCCTGTTCTCTAAGCCAGGCTCATATTCTGAACCAGCTCTCACATATCTATGTTGATCCCATGATTTCAGAAATGCCTATTTTCCAGCATGAAAACTGCCTCATTTTCAAGCTCTATTCTTGAAGATGCTCTTGCGATGAACAACAACAGCTGTGCTACTGAAATAAGGGTGAGACATGGTGCTGGCATCAGTTTGTGATAGTCAAGCAGTGTACTAATGCCTGACATCCCTCTCACCTTCCTATGGACCACCTGCAGCAGTCAGAGGCAAGAAAGCTCTTTGAGCTCCTAGAGGAAAGGACCAACCATACCAGCAAAAGCTGCAGGAGCACAGAGTATCCACAGCAAGAGGAGCATCAGCAGCAGGGAGAAGGCAGAGGCAGCACCTTCACAGCTTTATGAGAGATTCCTGGCCCAGCACTCATCCCACAGCTGCCTTCCCCAGGCTGTCACAGCCAGTGACCAACCTGCAGCACCTGGGACTCCCCTTAGCTGATTACCAGAGAAAGTTAACTCTTCATTGCTGGGTAAGTCCCAGCGTAGAGTGCAGAACAATCAGGCCCATGCAGAATCCACAGATTTCTTTCTCAGCTCTATTAAAACATCACTGCTAACACCATAACAAGGAAGGCAGCACTGGTAGGGAATCTGGGATATTACTGATACTCTAAAAACCTGGGATCTGTTACCTAAGCCCACTGCAGGGATACAGTGCAATTAGGGCTGAGAGCCTGTGCCCCAGGTTTTGATCAGGAGCTCCTGTAGCTCATTGGCTGCTGGGAGATACTGTGGATAAGGAACATTCCCTATAGCAGGAACATCTCACAGGTAGCTGAGCACAGAAAATAATTCCCACCACAATAATTAATACCTCTGGATAATCACGATAGAGACCCTATCAAGTAGCATCAAAGAGAAATGTCAAATCATTATATTCTCCTAATGCCCTCAGTAGCGTATCCATTGGGATTTCATAAGGAAAAACTTCCTTCTCCTCCAGATGCTCAGCAGGCAGGACATCTGCAGGCCTTATGAATTTTACAGTCAGATGAACAGAATCACAGAGCATAAGAGCTTCCAAAGGAAGACACCAGCAGCAACACCACAGTAAAGATCTTCATTACTTTTCCTTGACATTTTCATGACAGAATTCATGTAGAACATAAAACAAGCATAGGGCATGTTTACTGGATGTTTTATTGTTCAATAAAACATAAATAAACAGCTTTTTAGATCAAAGCTACATCAATAAGGAAGCACTGTGGCTTCTGAGACCAAACTAATATATCACATAATCTGGAGTTGAAGGAAGTACTCCTGGCACTTCAGCTTTACTCAGAGGAATCCACCTTAAAGGCATAGTGCCTGTCTGCCATCTGAAGTCTTATTGTTCAAGCAGTTTAACAAACAAGTACAATTGAGGTATCTGGGGTTTCAGAGTCCCACCACGCATCCTGTGAAGCCTTCTGTGATGAGACTTTTAGGGTCTATAAATAAACTTATCACAGAAGAGCAAACAGGAGCGTTTCCAGGAGAGCTTAGGGTTGATTTTCTGTGTGTACATCACTGCCTGAGCACCAAGCTCATCACAAGCAGTCAGTACTAGCCAAAAAGATGCAGCTTCCCTGAAAGTCAGTGGAAAGGCATCGGTATCAGCTCTGGATCAAGTCCTGGCCCTTCTGAGCAGCATGAGCCGCTCTAAATACCATATGTAAAGAAAAGAAGAGTTCTCTCTAAACTTTCACTCTCCTCATGGATATATACCTTCCTTCTCACCCTTTTCCTTCAGCTGGATACAAACCTGAACCTACAAACCAAAGAACGATGATTTGCAATGATGACTCACTGGTTCTACTCACACTGGCCTTCTTACACACATATGAGTATTTGTAAGGCTGTGATTGCACGGGATGCCACCAACCACTGACAATACATACATACAGGCCAATGTCTGGCTTATTCATCCACAAATCCAAAACCTAATGTAGTTTGGTCACCATCCCGATAATCCTTTTCTCTGTCAGTTCAAAAGAACAGCACACAATGTCAGACATGTGGACATTTTATTAGGGCCATACTTTGGGTTGTGCCAGAATAAACTCAGTGCATACCTGCACATGTATTCCAGGATCTTTTGTGGTTTGCTTTTCCAGTCTTGCCAGAAACTGTGTGGATTATGACTTTTAGGCATTACTGACAATCATGCCTCAGTCTGTTTCCTGGTATGCATTTCATATTGTGCTCTTTGCATGGCTATAGGCTTTTGCAGTTATTTTGGTCCCATGTCTCCTAATATGGGTAGTGGGAACTGAAAATGCCGCACAGAGCTCATCCTGGTATGCATTTATTAATGTGATACCAGGGTAATGCTGGCCACTCCTAAAATAGCCATACATCCATCAAGACTAAGGCGCCTTTTAAACAGAACAAACCTGATGTGTCCCTCCTGAGCACCCTGGCGCTGTGGGTGCAAGGGAGAGCACAGCAGAGGCTTGGGGCATCTGCCTCCTCCATTAGAGGAGGGGACAAAGGGGTTTGCTGCAAGAAATCTGTCCGGCAGCAGCAGGTTCCAGGGTGCTCAACAAGGAAGCCCCACTGCTGGCCATAGTGATTTAGGGAGGTGACCCTCACTTAGTAGCTAGGTGAAGCTGCTGGCAGGCATCCATGAGTTTACCAGGCTCAAAAAGGTCTCTCTTTGCTAAGGATCCTCACCTGGGCTAGCAGTGCTGTCCTGGTGTTAGTACAGCCCACAGTGACACAAAACCTGCTCCTACGGCAGCTCCTCAGTAATTCAGATACATCTGTGGCCGAGCAGTAAACCTCACTGAGGTCCAGGATCTGTTCCAGCCTCAAGGATTCCCAGGTCACGCTTGCTCAAGTGCAGGAATGGAAACAGCACTTTCCTGACTGCCTTTGTGGTGACTGTGCCCAGCACCTGAAGGCCAGGCTGTGCTTTTTCTGCCTCACACATCATCACCCTCCGCCTGAATTAACTGGCAAGACTGGTGATGATGCGTGAGGCCAAACAGAATCCAGCCTGAGCTGCCAGGGATGCCTTGGCTCTGCAGTGCTGACAGGGCTGGAAAAAAACTACAACTTGGATCCTGAATCATTCAAAGGAGCCTGAGCTGCAGGGCTGGGCCCCAGGGATGCACAGGGGTTGTTGGCTAGGATGCACAGAGGGATGGATGGTGACTGAACCCTAAAAGTGGGTGAGAGCTGTCCTGTGCCTGCAGCTCTCCTTGGTGTGAGGGGACAGGAGGGTTCCTCACCTGCCTGGCAGCAGCATTTCTCATCCCTTTCACTGTCATAGTTATGGCAGAGAGCAGGAAACATGGATGGAGTGATCCTGCTTTGTGCAGGCACTTGTTTGTTCCCAGTTCTGCTTTTCCACCGGTGTTGAGGTGGGCAGCAAATCCCTAGAGAGAAAACACAGGAGCTCAGGAAATGCAGAAGGAAAAGAGTTCCCCCCTCACTCCCTGTCTTCCCAAGCAGGAGCACTGTGCTGCAGCAGAACCAGTGTCCAGTCCCACGCATGGAGAAGGGACACCCTCCTGCACCCACCTCGCTGTGGACAGACCAGGTTGTCCCTGCATACGCTGGAGCCGGTAATTTTATCCTAAATGTGCTTGTCTAAAAATACCTCACTTGTGTGTTTTTTGACCATATGCCCAGGATCATGAAAATTTTTCCGTAGGAAAAAAAGCTGAAAAAAAAAACCTTTAAACCCATAACATCTTGGAATGATTTGACCACTTTCTTCTTAGGACATTCTCTCCTTTTTATAACATGATGGGGTTTCTCCTGAATTTAAAACATCAATTTGGCCTAACAGGAGGAGAGTGTTCACTCTTCCAAACCATAAAGATCAGAGACTATAAACTGTTGTTTCTTAAACGTTTCATGGCAAAAGGCATTCAAAGCATAACATTAACACAAAGTTTTTCTGTAAAACAATCTGGGAAGTGTAATCTCTGTAAGGGTTTTTTTATGCACCATGGCTAATTGTTCCTGACAGTATGATTTTACATCAGGCATTTTCTGTAAATTCAACACCATTCAAACTTTATGGCAGGTAATATTCCTTACAACTGCTCAAGTCCTGACCATGTCTAAATTACTGTTGCAGAATGATGTTTTTTGGGTTGGGGTTTTTTTAAACTACAAAACATTGGGAGCAAGAGTCATGCAATACAACAGGCTCATGGTCCCCTTTGCAGCCAAAGGGATGGAGAAGGGGGAGAAGTTTCTAGCCATCAAAGCTGAACATAGGACTCCTTAGAATTCAAATCCTAAACCAGTTTTATATGGCTTTGGTATGTCACGATATGATGGAGCCTGATTGATGATTACTTCATGCTTGCATTCACTGAGGGTATCAATGTGAATCTGATGGTGGGTTTTCCAAGCAGTTCCCCAAAGGCGTTTGTCCTACAAGCAAAATTTGTGTTTTATAAGAGAACCTGAAACATGGAAAGCTGAGAACCTGTGCACAGACTGATGAGTTTCTGCACAGCACCGTGTGGTTCAGTCTCTGTCCCAGACAGAACTTCTAACTGCACAAGCTGATGTTCCCTGGAGGAATTCCACCCCCTGACCACAGAGGAGGATTCACCATGACCAGCCTTGCACCCTCAGCCTTACCCCCTGGATTTCCTGAGCTGTGCCCCCATGGCTGTGTTTAGCAGCTGAACACACAGGCCATTCAGAGTCCAAAACAGAACACGAGAAAAAACAGTTTCCCTTGGTTAGAAATCCCTGCCGTGCTTTACACCAGTGCCACAGCTACCAGGCTGCTCTGAGCAGTAAAGCCAAGGTTTGTT